GGCATTGCTGTGCTGTGGCGTCAGACCTCCCGGTTCGCGCACACCCTGCTGACCTACTTTCAAATGAACCTGGTGCCGCTCCCGGTAACGGCTCCCCACGGCTGGAGGCGAGCCCCACACAGTGGCCATGCCACCTCCGGCAACGCCAGGCATGTATTCGATGGTATCTCGGCCCAGGACTATTCTCAGGCCGCTCCAGTTACTGTCTCCTGTTGAGTTCAAATCGCTGCCGCAGGAAAGGCCAGCGTTTACCCAGCGTCAGGGCAAGCCTGACAGAGTGCACTCTCGGGAAGCACAGGGCGCAGACTCCGAGGGCTCATGTCTGCCACCGCTCCCCTAACCACCAGGATCAGCTGTTCCAGCTCAGGGCAGGGAGGAAAAGTGAGTCTAAAAGCGGAGGGTGGCGCAAAACATGTGCCAAGCAGCAGGCTCCCACCTGGCAGAGTGTAAGCGGTCCCACGCTCTGCACCCTTTCAAGAGCTGCTGCTTAGACCTGGCCCACCCCAATGCTCACCTTGACTTAGGGCGCTTGGCCCCACCCCTACCACCTGCCTCCACCACTAAGGCTCTACTCACCCTTAATGCTCTCCACCTCTAGTGCTCTGGGCTCCTGCTCTTAATGCTCGGCCCAACCCCTAGCGTTCGCCCCACCCCTAATGCTCGGCCCCACCCCTAACGCTTGCCCCACCCCTACAACCAAGGGTGTCAATGCCATCAGGCGTACACAGGTGTGATCTGGTGAATCCTGTCCGCAAAACTTCGTGCAAGCAAAGGCCTTCAACACCCCCGCCCCTCCTCCCAGGACCTGCACAGGGGACACACAAGCAAGTCACATAGGCTACTTCACATATTTCAAAACGCCCCAACCCCACTGATTTCCCCACCCAGGCTGGAGGCAGGGAGTGTGCTGAGAGAGGGCGGAGCCCCAAACTTCTCCACTCCTCAGCCCTAGCTGTTGAGGAAAACCACCTGGGCTGCTGGGCCCATCAGAGCAGTAGCATCCAAGATGTGGGCGGGCAAACTGTGGAACTTCCTAAGGCCCGGGTGGGCCTCCCAACCACCAGGATGCCACTAATTTTGTAGACAGGACTATATTACTCTGGTGAGGAAGGTAGTTTTATTTTGATTCTTCTGGTTGTTTTAAGATTGTATCTGGTAACAGAAAGTACTCTTCTAAGAACATCCCCTGAGGTGACTGCTGTTTACACAATTCTGTTCTGTCTGACAAGGTTGGCTGGTCACAGGTACCCCCTACGGAGATGAAGGGTCAGTGCAGCCTTGGCGCAGGCTGTGGACTGCCTGGTTCACAGATTGCAAAAAACGGGGGTGGGAGTGGGGGTGGGGGCCACCGGTCAGGAAGGAAAGCCTTGTTGGAAGGGAGTTGATTCTCTGTGGGGCGCGTGTGTTCACATCTGCATGTGTACGCATGTTTGTGGATGTGTGCACATGCATGTGTGTGGATATGAGTGTGGTATGCATGCATGTGTGTACAAACGGTGTGTGCATGGATATGTATGTGGGGGGGCATGGCTGTGAATGGGTGTGCAGGTATGCCATGTGTGCCTGTTTGTCTCTCTGTGTGCATGTGTGTACCCACAGGGTGATGTAAATGTGTGGGCACATGCATGTGCATGCATGTGCATGCATAGGACACAGGCATGTGCATGTGTGGGGTGTGTGTGGGTGTGCATGTGCACAAAGTATGTGTGTGTATACACGTGTACATGTGGGTATGAGATATATATGCGTGTGCACACACGAGTGTGCATATGTGTGTGTATTGAAAGAGATGGCAGCAGAGGGCATCTGCATGTCTCGACACTTCTCATCAAGGCTGTGCTTTCAGGCCCTATGAATGGTGACCCCCTCTCCACTGCTCCGGCCCCGACTCAGCACGAGGCCCAGAGGAGTGGCCGAAGGAGGAGGAAGTGGGCCGTTAAGGACTTGGGATGAAGGTGGAGTGGGAAGAGCCAGCCAGTGGTGTGGACTTCAGGGTCCGTCGCAGGCTGTGGGGGCAGAGTCTCGGCTGCGAGGCAGGGGACCCGGGCTCCATCCCTGGCCAAGCACCTCCCGCACAGCACCGCCTTCTGTCAGAAGAGGCTTGTGTGTTGCTGGGAGGCTGCAATGGAGGTTTCAGACCGAGCCACACCAGGAAGAAAGGCCTGGTGACTGACAAAACTCAGGCATTGGGAACCTATGGGTCACAGTGGTTTGATCCCACTGTACATGGGGTCTCCGTGAGTCAGGGGCTAATGCAGCCACAGCCATCACCACCACCAGCAGCCATGGGGCTGAGAACCTTCAAACCACTGGGTTTTTGGTGGCTTCACATCACAGCCTCCTTCTCCACCCACTCAAGACAGCTGGTCCCAGCACTGCCCTCTGACTGTGGTCACTGGAGGTTCACCTGAGTTATTGGCCAACTTTAGGTCTCAGGGGAGAACTGCAGAGGCCAAGGGGCTGCTCAAGCCCGATGCTCCCCACACCCCAGGGACCTAAGGTTGTCAGCATCTCTCCCCCTGTTGGGACCTCTCCCCTCTCGTTGGCACCCTGCACCTGTCAGCACCTCTCCCCCCATCAGCACCCTGCCCCCCATCGGCACCTCTCCCCCCACCCCCCAGCACTTCCTTGCTACAGAGGATCAGCATCAGTGACCAGGAAGAAGTGCAGATCAGACAGGAAGAAGTGCAGATCAGACAGGAAGAGACTTCTAGAACCAACAGACCATCAAGATGGTGGGTGGACCCTGGAGGGGAATCACACTTCAGCTTGAAAACCCCACGAGAGTAAGTTAATCAGACAGACATGGGAGTCAGCCGGCGTGCAACAGCTCTGAGCAAAGTCCGAGCAGTCTCATCAGAACTCGGGAGGAAGAGGAGGGACGGAAACCCACCAGGCACAGAATCCCTGACCGTGAGGAGAAAGATGGAGGACTCCAGCGACAGTAAAGTGAAGAAGTGCTACTCATCAAAATCTCCATGAAGAAACTACAAGCAAGCCACAATAAAGAGGAGAGGTTTTTAAAAATAAAAAAATAAAATAATAAAAAAAACCCACATAGAACTCTGTAATACATAAACAACAACTTGGTAAGGAAACGAGAAACAACCCAACAGCGGCCAAGGACACGACTGGGCATTTCAACAAGAGGAAAGACGGGCAAACGCACATTTGACTGGACACTCAGCCTCCTCAGTTCTCAGGGAAACGCAAGTTACAACCTTAAACAAGATATGTTCGTGCCGCCATTGCTGTCAAGGAGATGCCGACCTGTGGTGGTCCCAGGTATGTTAGAGTAAGACTGCCCCGTGGGGTCTTCAAAGCTTTGAACTTTCGGAAACAGATCACCCGGGCTGCCTTCCCAGGTGCCTCTGGGCGCGTTTGAACCACCAGCTTCTCAGTTTAGTAGTCCACTGTTTAACTGAGTTCACCAACATGCACTCCAGCACATATATTTTTATGTGTCAAGTATTGCATAAGAAACATTAATAAAGATAAGAAAAAAAAAACCCTATGTATTCTACATCCCACAGATACAGCACTTAAAAATAGACCCAAACATACACCATGCACACATAATCCTCCCCTTGATGTTCCCCTACCCCCAGCCTCCGGCCTCATCCTCCCAAGCATCCACGGGAGCCTCCAGTCACCCGCCCTCTACCTCCAACAGCACCAGAAGGGCCTGGAAAGTCAAGCACCGGGAAGAGGCAGGCATCACCCACCCCTGCCACCATCCTCCAGCATTCCTGGTCCCCAGGCCCCAGAAAGGGGCCCAGGACGGAGCCTAGCTTGGGAAGAGCAACCCAGAGCCTGCACAGAGCCCACAGGAAGGCACACAGAGGGGCCTCAGAATGGAAAACAGAGCTTAATTCCACAAGCCAACACCTGACAGCCACGGAGTACCAACCCAGGGATCCCCTAACCTCAGAGGGAAGGTGCAGATGCCAGCCCCCACTGGCCCAGAGATGGAGACTGTGGGACCAGCTCCCAGTGTCTCCCCAAAACCAAACACACTGTCAGGACGGAGGAGGGGTGGGAGGCCACCAGAGCTGGCAGGCGGACATTGTTGGAGTTGATTCCAACTCATAGAACCCTGTAAGGAGCTCTGGTGGCACAGTGGTTAAGTACTCAGCTGCTAACCAAAAGGTTAATGGTTCAAACTCACCACTTGCCCCATGGGAGAAAAATCCTGGCATTAATGCTGCCAGAAAGATGACAGCCTTGGAAAACTTATGGAGCAACTATACTCTGTCCTCTAGGGGCGCTGCCAGTGGGAATGTTGTTGTTGTTATTTGCTGTCGAGTCAGCCTCGACTCATAGC